TGCAGATTCCAAGATCATCAATTCAGACAATTTTACAATTTTAAGTACAAGTTATTCAGCTCATGACCACTTTGCCAAGGTGTGGAAAATGGTTCAAATTGTCACCTCAGATGAGAGGAAATTGGTTAGACTGTTCAGGAATGACCCAGGAATCACCAAAGTTCAAGCCATGAGGTCAAACCTAAGAAAACTGTACCAGCTGTCAAGCATGGTGGTGTTACCATCATGCTCTGGGATAGTTTTGCTGCCAGTGGTAATGGTATATTGTGACTGGAATAATAAAAATGGGGACTACTTCCAAATTCTACAACTTTACCTCAAACCAACAGCTAGAGCGTTGAAACTTGGGCACAATTTGAGGGTTCCAAAAGGACAATGATCCCAAATACACATCAAAACTGGTTTAGATTGAAAATAGAATAGAATAGAATAGAATAGAATAGAATAGAATAGAATAGAATAGAATAGAATAGAACAGAACAGAATAGTCATTGAAGATGTACAACAAAATTGTGGGTGCTTTACACCAACTCTGATGAAACAAAATAAAGCTGGCTTCATTATTCTGACCTTCCCAAAGCCTACTGGCTTTGGCTACTAAAAGCATCTGGTCGAGGTGCAACATCCTAAGAGACATTTAACCAGATATTAGACCATCATAGACGTTATGACGATGCAGATGTTAAATATTAATATTAATAATAATTCAGTGTCCAACAACCCTGTTAACAACCCTCAGGTCAGTGGATCAGAGTTTAATGGCCCATGTACATATTTATTGGCTTTTGAAAAAAAAAAGCTTGTATTTCTATATTTTTAAATATGAATGCAGTTTAGTTAACACAATATTTGATACTATTTCACTTTCATTGTGAGAAATGTTATGAACGCCTTGAGATTAATATGGTCTAATACAGTGGTTCTCAAACTGGTGGTGCTTGGGCTCTCTCTAATGGTATGCGGAAAAATCTCCAAAAAGAATCTTAAGATTAATTAATATACCATTGTGGAGGCATTGCACAACACACAAGAGTTCCTGAGGCTCTTCTGGGAGTCGACCAGAAAAACGTCTCCCCTCCCGGAGCGTGAGTCCTCTGTGAAGAGCACCCTTTCCTTATTGCCAGTGATCGTCTCTGCTACAGAGCGCTGGAAGGCTCATTTCCCTGTTTTAACCATC